CAAGCCATATTGCAGAAAGTCTGGAACCGGGTCATAAGACTGGGCACAAGGCATGTATGTATGAAGGCTTACTTGTCCGCGATGCAGCACGACGACCAAATCTGCCTTCGAATTTGCTTCTCTACGGGAGTAAAGATGTCGTTCCCTCGGTCATCCTTCCACTTGTCAGCGTCTCGATTCATGCCCAGATCAATTGCCTGCACATCGTCAGTCAATAGAGCGGCGACATTCTGTGAAAATACACACTATCCGACAGCCCATTCCTGACATAGGGCAGATGTCAGTCAAGCATAATCAATCAGCAGAATTTGCCCACCAATCCATAACCAACCCTGCGCAGCGGCACCTGCAAAGTCTTCAGCCCCGCGAATCCTGTACATCGCGCGCATTACTTACCCATGCCAAGCTCACGTATGCCCAGTAGCAAGAGTGCTTGGCATATTGAGGGTCTGCTATCTTCATATACAGTGTCTGCGAGTGTTAATACACCTAAACACTTGTGCAAGAGATGCAGTACTCACTGAGCAGTCTCCGAGCATCAATTGCGAACTGGTTGCCTGCTCGCAACTTATCATTGTCCTCGGCAAAGTCGTTGGGCGCATACCTCGCGGCAAAGGCGAACATGGCGAGTAGCAATAACTTTGTGACCGTTTGCATAGGCTCGCGGCGGCCGCCAGAACGCGGCGAATCGATATCTCTATGTCCCCGAGGATTTCTGGTGAGTGGAGGCGAATGTTAGCAGGACGAGCGGCGTCATTGGTACTCACCTTTCGTAATATGCAGTCAAGAAACTCGCTTTATGAACGACGGGGAGATAGTGGTGGACATAGGTGAAGTACAGCGTGATCAGATGATCCTGAGTGGCGATATCGGGAAGCTGGATACGATCGCTGACTTGGTCGAAGGATAGGCAGTGACAATCTTCATCAGTTTGTGGTCGCGGTACGTTGAATTTCCTAAGACGAGATGTCAGTTTTGGAAGTCTTTCAATAATATAAGCTTATTAACCATATGCCGTTCTCCTTCGATTGGCTGTCATCCGTACGATCGCTCGCAGCGAGAAGATGAAGACCCGCAGACCGTCCATGATATCGGAACTGTTATCGAGGATTAACGGCAAGCTACAACAAAGGAAATGTCGCATACCTCTTGATTATTGTCGACAGAGAGGTGTCCAAGCGCATCGACTGCTTCGCCATACTCGTCTTCTTCGTAGATTTCTAGCCGACACAATTAGTTCGAGAGATTATATGACATGGCAATCGACCGACCTTCAGGGTCATGTCGCTGTTGTGACTGGCGGTTGTGTGCCGGATTTAGAGTTGGTCCATCTATCCTTCGTCGCCTACGGGACGGCTCGCCATCTGTTGCAGGTATGCTCCTGCTTGTATGGGCAGGGCTAGGCTGACTGGAGGACCAGTCCGTGAATCTGGTATGCTCGGACGAAACATTTGAATATGGCGTAACCGGGGAGCTATACACAGGGGTGCCCGAAAGACGGCGATACAGCTGCTCTTGCCATTCGACTGTAGGAGGGGCCGACATCTCTGTGTCTGGGAAGCCACCGCCGCGTAGTAAGCTAATGAGTGCAAGATATGGGGAGCGGACAAACGTACCTTGGCTGGAGACAATTTCCCGAGATAGTCTTGACTGACGCTTCGACCGACTGTCTTCACCCATACCGGACTGAGTCATGATTGTACTGTATAAGCCTTCACCGCCTTGTTGTGCCCCTCCACGCCCAACAGAACCCTGATATCTGTTAAGTGGAATGCGTACAGATTGCTGGAATACCACTCACGTAAGGTCCTGCTTCGACTCGGTCTAGGATTGCTCGAGCGAGACGATCTTGACGTAGATCTGCGACGATGTCGCGGGACCTTGGAGAAGCCATGATGGTCGCGAGGATGCATTCCACCTGGTGCCATCGTTGCTCAATAGCATGGATATAGCCTTTGGGTGGCCCCCGTTTGAAACTCGGCCCTGTATAGTGCATGAGTCCGTCGTGTGCGACAGTGTTGGCAAATGTAGTAGACAAACCTTGGAAAGTGCAAGCTGACATGCCCAGTTGTCAGAGGCGTCGCTATG